AATGAAAAAATTCTCCTTAAGAGGGATGGAAAAGTATAGGAAAACCCATGTAAGTAGGCCAAAATCTGTCAGATAACATGTGTTCAGGCCTCTGTGAGTATGTCTACACATGCTAACTTAAGGCACCTTAGCCTGATTTAAGGCACATTAAGGATATGTGTCTACACATGCTTTAAAAATGGTGATTTTAATGTGCTTTAAAAATGGTGATTTTAGGTTATTCGTGCCTAAGTTTGATACCTGCAAAAGCAGGTATCAGATTTAGGTGCGACTAGCTAAAGGGCATTAACACACATGTAAAAACATTAAAGTGCATGAACACTGTGTGTGGACTGACTTGGGACTAACTTTAGTCCCATGTCAGTCCACGCACATGGCATTAATGCGCTTTAACACATGCATGTGTAGATGTGAGCCTAAATCACTTTAATGCGCATTAAACTAATGTGCATTAAGTTTAGGTGCACCTAAATACACATGTAGACATGCCCTGTAGTGTCAGGATGGGCATGTTTAAAAAATAGGCAATGTAGCTGTTGTGAAACATCCTGCACAGTAGCACCCGTGGGAACCCACACTAGAAAGTGTGTTCGTTCTCATGGGTTCTATCTGTGCTCTCAAGCTTTATCAGGACAGGAAGAAGCAGCACAATACAAAGAATTATCAGGGAATAAGAATACAAAGAGGTATTAGCAGGCAATAAGCTAGGGTGCAGGGGTGGCACTAGCACAAAGGAGCTCACTTTCACATATACTTTTCAGATACCCTCTGCACCAAAATCTACAGAGAATTTGCTGGGAAGACTGAAAATAGAAGGCAGGGAATATTTCAGGAACAAGAAACAATGAGTCAGCCAAAAGGCACAAAAAAAGTTTAGTGGATAAAGGTCATCCCATCAAGGACCGAATGAATAGATGACCAGGGGCAGGAACAACGGGGGACATCAGGTGACTAAGTGGAAGGATCAAAAGACTGCTGGACTGCTAAGACCATAACAGAAATGGTGAACCTCCTAAAGGAGTTGTCCTGGCACCAGCTCCTAAATTACCTATTTGTATAGGGACCAGTCTGACAACCAGGGGCCCAGTCTGGATACCTGACATGCATCCATCGTGTTCACTGAGACCAATAGAATATATTGTTTGATGGTTGGAAAAAGCAATGAAAACCAACTGTAAGGAAAAGAATAAACAAAAAACTCAAATCAAAGAGGAAATACACTTATTTCAATGCATTTGGAGCAAGTTTTCCATGAACCCATTAGCAAAAATAGACAATTTCTTTAATCAAAAAGTCTGCTGACAAATTGATAGATTTGTAAATGCAGCAGTAAGACTACATTAGAATCACATCACTACCAGTGCTAGATCAGTGTCCAAAGAATGGATTACCCTGACAGATGTCTTTGTTAAGTAATTTTTTCATTCAAAGGTTTTTTCCTTAAGACTTGCAATGAAAAGTAGCAGAAAACAGGTAGCTCTATCAAAGGATTGATATTAACTTAAAGGCAAAACAGCAAAAATGAATTCTAAAGACTGAACAACATCATACCGCACCCCAATTTTTTTCTTTTTAATGACAAACAGCAGTAATGTGATAGGTACCAAAATAATGTCATACTATCCATTTGCCTTTTTTTTTTTTTGAAGTTCAAAAATGAATATGTAGAAAAAAT